TTACTAGCTTAAATAATAATTTTCTATTGAAAAGCGAATTGTACTTTGCATTCCAAAACGACAATTGCACCAAAATTATGCAGTTGACATTTAAGAATATAAGGAGAATGGTCCTTGTGAAATACAATTGTTAAATATGAAGAACACTAATTCTTGTCGACAGGCCGTAATCAATATATCAAAATCAATTATTAAACAATTGGAAGAATCGACCTAGTGGATTACCATATTTCCGAAAGAAGAAACCATCAAGTTGGTGTATCAACAGCAAGAAGAAACAATTAAACTCTATGGTTCACACCTTATTGATATTCCAACTAATTATGAAATTAGTACCAGCGAAAGAAGAATAATAAACAAAGAAAAGGTATTCAATCAGAACCAACCTCTGATTTTCCCAGAATTATAAGAAAATAAAGATTTCACACCAATTGTGATCAACACCGACTTTTAACCTAACCTAACCTACACCAAATTAATTTGGGCGGACTATCTGAACTAAAGAAGAGAATAATTGAAAATGAGCCACAGATTTCCTTCAACAAACTGGAACACATCCCTACTGTTTGGACCATTACCCTGTATGCTTTTCTCGCTATAACAGGTTGTTATTTTCGATACAAATGGGTAACAGAAAAAGGAACCAAAAATGGGTAACAAAGCAATAACCTTGGAAAACGTTCAACTACCACGTTACACTCCGTAGTTGAAATTTCGAGGGGAGGAATTATTTCACGGTATATCTATTGTATTCCTGCTTTTATATAGGTATTACATACATCATCGAATCATCGCCGTGGCGTATTTTGCTGTACAAGCAACTAAAAAGACATAAAAACCATTTTTTCATACGATAAAAAAAATCATGTTTGTAACTTGTTTTAGTATAGATACGTTTTTTTTCTTATAATTAATATTAATAAATCTTTAAAAAGTCGATTTTGTCCGTCGAAAAGTTAATTCGCGGACACTTTTTTTCAGTAGACTTTCTACTACGTTATTCTAGTGTACTTGAAGAATGATATTCACCAAAGTCTCCCTGGTTTCAACTTTTTCCGAAGTGAAAATTTTCGTTTACTCCACTAGTTCGGATTATCCCGTTCCAATGCGTTGCATAGGTTATTAAAATGAGTCTTTAAGCCTTTAAAAAGATGCCCTATCTAATGGCCGAAGAAACGTTAATGTGGCTTGGCAAACAGAAGAGGATCACGTCGTGCTCCTCTGCATACTCCAGTATCTCTGAGGAATTGTAATGGTTAGCGAGACCGTCTAATATATAAAATTACTTTTCGTGGAACGAAGTGAGTTTGCAGCCTTTTAAATATCAAATCAATCCTAGTATATAGGGATTTTTTATTCATAAAAGCAACACACTCGTTCTAAAAGAATTAAACCGCTTTCAATTGTCTCGCATGGAATCAACAAATCATCAATATATGTGAACGCTTGATTATGACGCGTCCCACCCAACTTTCTGTTAATCTGAAACAGCGCCGCAGAGTTCGCAAAACCGAAAGGAGCTTGTGTCTAGTCATATTGTCAATACGCAGTAATAGACATCGTTTAAACAATCTAATATGGATGCATATGCATAAGGTGATATCGTTGCTCAGTGTTTATTATTGTAAAGAACCATTTGTTTGTCAATCGGTCTGTATTTAGTACGTTCAAATGCTTCCAAACAATTAAATGAATGTTTTACTTTGTCATTCATTTTTAAAATTTCTGTGTTGCATAGCGACCATCCAGCCTGCCATGAAATTAATATGTAAAATTGACAGACTTAACAAGGCTGTCTGTTCAGATTCCACTACTGCAACACCATTGACTGAACCTGAATGATATTCAATAGCATAATGTCATTCAGATAAATGAATGAACCACCTATCTGTCTGTTCTTATTGTGAAAGGAATTCCAATTAAATAAACCCCTAGCCATTGTGAGTTCAGGGATACACACCGTCCAGTGCAATAAATGCGGTTTTATCAGGGATGCCTTTTATATTGGTTTCTGATAACAAGCAAATTGCAAATATAAGCGACTAATACCTTTCATACCATGTAATAGTTCTAATTGGTCGTCATTCCTAACTAATGGGCAATAGCTTTTAACAGTTTGCTTATTTAAACAACGATAGTCAATAAAAAGACGAACGTTCCCAGTCTTCAGTGATGTCTGCATGCTTCAATTCTACGATCTCTTGAATTTTATCCTCAGAATAAGATGATCTATACTGTTGTGGACCTTGTTGGAGTATACGTAATCCTAAAATGTAGCATCGTGCTACAGATGGCGTTTACTGCGCCATTTGTAGTATTTTCTAAAACGCACTGTTAAGACAGCAGGTAAAAGTTGGTGAGTGTTCTGTCGGAGCTGCCTGCGACGCGCTGATGAGATCCGAAAAGATCGAAATCGCTATCCGCGTCTGGCAGTTTCGACAAAATACAGACCACTTCGAATTATTTTAGTGTTTAAACAGTTCGATACTAAACTTAATCCTCTAATTAGTATTCAGGTATATGAGTGTAAGTTTAAAAGATAATCGTTTCACGGAAGAAATTATTAAATTAAATTAATAATGAGGTTTGATCTGCTGATCGTCTTAAATTAACTTTAGCTGGGATCTCATCGGTTAGGCAATAAAGCAGTGAATTTTACATTTATGCAAAACTGTTGTAGGTGGGATTGTCTTTTTTATGTATTTTTTCTGCAACTAAGATTCCAGCTTCTGACTAGACCTAGTGTAGATTTTTTTACACTGTATTTTAAAATAAATTGTTGTTTTTTGAAAATACTGTCAAAAAAAAAACGAGTAAAGCTAACGAGAAGTGAAGGATAAATAACTTTTTCGTAAAATTTTCGTTAAACGCTTGTAAAGTGTCAGAGCATTGTGCGGTCTGTAAAAAAACGTTTTGGACAATTCCGGTATCATCACTGCCGCTGTTCAATTAGGTTTCACCTTCAAAGACGTATCGACATCGGCGAAGGGATAGCCGCAAATTGGTATTCCACCTGAACGCCCTGCCGTTTATCTACGGTTTTGCAAGTGTTATTCTGAAGCATCATATCATTACGGTTGGCGATTCTTTTCTCAAATGCAAATATTTGTGTTTTATTGTTGGGGTTTACCTCCAATTTTAGGAAAATATTTTAATATTGTTAGTTAAATTTTAGACTTTGATTATAGTCTTTAAAATTCAAGCGAGTGTGTATCAAATAAAGATAAAAGAAGAAAGATGAATAAAGAATTGAACTAAATAAAACAAACACTAAAAACGATAACAATTTAATTAACAACAACAACAATACTTAACAACAAACCGGCAGGAGATGAATTATAAAGAAACAGCTAGTAATTAACCAAGGTCGAAATCATAAGTGAAGTTATTTTAGAAAAATTAATAAAAAATAGGCGAGATAGGTTGGTAGGACACCTTCTCAGGTATAAAGGTCTAGTCAGAGACATATTACAGGCAGAAACAGGAGTTAGGAGGGGTGGAGGTAGACCTAGATTAGATTACTCTTCGCAAATAGTTACGGATGTGGGCTGTTCTAGTTTAGGGAAATACGAAGTTTAGCTCAGGATAGGAAAGAGTGGATGTGCGTGTCCAACCAGTCTTAGGACTGACGACCTTATGATGATGACTCTCATATGCAAAAGCAGAAATATTATATCTATGAATTCTTGAATATTGCCTAGTTTGGTTCTCAACAAAATTGAAAACTGACAGCATTTGCCATATACGATACCAATATTATGAAGTACTACCTAGTTCTTAAACCAAAAATTTATTTAATAAACCAAGGCCTATTAGTTGAATTGGGGGTGTCGCTTGTCAAACCGCAAAAGTTTATTTTATATCATTTGTTTCCATACCCAACATAGCGTTAATCTCTTTTTCACATTTTATTACCACCAACATATTTGGCGCTATCAAATGACAAACATCGACATCGCATTCTCATGACCTACTCCAAAATAGAAAATATTTTGATTCTAAAAAATGAGCCTCAAATTCTTCAACACGGTAGTACCTGTATACTCAAACTGTTGACGTCCAAACTCTTCCCCCAAACTTGTGAAATCTACACCACATATACCAACGGAGAGCTTATATAGAATATATATGACAACAGCTGGTTTGCGGTCCCTACCGAATTGCTCGATTTTACTTAAAAGTGCGCGAATACTCTAATCAATAGAGTCGAAATTAAAAAACCTATTATAATGTATGTTTATAATGAGCGTACGTGTTATTTCTCTGACGGTCTTCGTATTTCTACATTAAATTTAACATAACAGTTAATCGAAATTCCTATGGATTGACGCGAGAAACTTGAATTATCAAAACTTCAACCTCTTAATTTAAATTACTTAAAACAATGAAATATTAATATTGCTGTCGCGAAATTAAATGATATTCCAAATAAAATTGAAACAGAAGAAAAAAGAAACTTCTCCCAACTAGACGAGAATTACTGGTTAATAGTTCCTGGCCTACTACTGACACAATAGTAATTTTGTTTATTCATTACTGCTGTTGCACAAATTTTATCTGCAAACCGACCCGTTGCTGTTATTTTAAAAACCACTGTTTGACGAAAGACAATGCTAACAGCCCGGTCGTTTATTGCTAGCTATCTCCTTCTTCGGCAACCACTTTAGAAATTTAATGGAAAAATGAATAACATCCTCCAGCTGTATCATTTAAGAAAAGCTATAAAACGCTTCAAGTCAAGAAAAACTAATTTTAATAACTGCAACAAGACACATCTTTACGTTATGTTCCATATTCATTGTAATAATACGATTTTATTATGTATTGTTCCCAACTAACATTCTAGCTTCAGAGTAGACCTTGTATAGATATTTTTACTCTGTATTTTAAACTAAATTGTGTTCTTTTTTGAAAACTCATAAAAAGGAAATAAAAAATATTCAAATATCGTTTATAAGCGAACAATTGTTATTATAAAATTGTATTTGTGATTTTTTCAGCTCATCTATATCTCATCCAGATGAATGCCAATATTTCGAGGAAGACTGTGAAACTCTTGGGGCAGCAATTGCTTTAGAGGTAGACATGAGCCTTAATCAGCTTTCATTTCAGACTTAGTGATTCAGTTCAGTTTATTCAGGTGTAGACGATGCTGACGCTTTTATGAATGGATTTAACAATTAAAGGAGTCTGAATTGATGGGGTACTAGTTAAAATTTCTGGGTTAATATTTTAATTGCTATCTTTATTCTTTAAACTACTTAAGAGCACTATGTTGTAACATGATATAGATAAAAATGTACACCCTTGGCTGTAGATAACCATTTTTAACCAACAACGGCTGTTGTTCAGAGGCTTATTTATATTCATATCGACTTCTGTGGAACAGTCTATCCTTTTTGAAAATTCGGGAACACGTATTGTTCTGCAATCATTTAGGCATGATTTATTGCCGTTCGTGTTTGTAGATGAAATACTGCCGATGTCTGCGAAGAAATCTCGGGCCGTCAAAAGTCAATGTATTGATTTTCGCATACATGTTTATAAGTTAAAGTGCCCCCTTCTTAAGAATGATCTATCCCGGATCATATTGTGTCCTTTCTTCATAGAGTTATGTCGATATCTACAGCTTTTACCCTTTTGGCATACGGTCATCAAATGGAAATAGCAATCCACTGTGCTTAATCTGGCGATTTTTCGTCGTGGATAACCGGTGCATATCAAAATTTCCACCCCATTCTACCGAAACAGAACCTCTAACATACTTCGTACCACTCTCCAGTTCAGCCCATCAGAACCACTAGCAATCTGCGTGTGGGATCGAACTTCTTCATCAAGTCTAATGGAATTGGCAACATCCTCCCAGGCCTACAGCTAAACTTTAGGTCGCATGGTATTCGCAGCTCTCGACCAAGTAGTACTTTTGCTGGTGTCTGTCCAGTAAATTCATTTCATCCTGTTCATTCGCTCTACCATTCCATCTGAGTGTAGTCAGAAAAATGGCGAATTTGAAGTTTTGGTCCTGGTCAAAATGGACCTCCACCGAATCAGCGGATTAGATATTTGACGAACTTCATCAGTCTTCGACGTAATCCTTGCAGTTTTTTAGTGAATACACACCTTTCCAAATATCTTCTTAACTAGATGTTGTCACACTCGCTTCAGGCGGTCTCTTGGTTAGTGGCGTGGACAGAACGCGGTTGCCTTACCAGTCCGTGTTCGCAATCGCAGCCGAGCGGGACATAAAGGGTATTCCTGAATAAGATTTACAAAATTGCACCTCGTGGATTTTTCACAAATACCTATTCATTTTTACATCTTATTCAGGGATACCGTCCGTCTTAGCAATGAATGTTCCTTTATTATGAAAAGTTGTTGCTTTTAAAAATAATTTAATGAATTCATCTCAGGAATGTTTCTGTGGAAATGATTAGGAAAAGGAAGGGGATTGAGTGGGAGAGGAGTAATTTTGGGGGAGAAAGGTGTTGCAAAAAAAGTCGGTGGCCCATCTCGGATGAGTTGGGACAGGGCCTTCTGAAACGGTCGTTTGGTTTTAGGGACGAAGTCAGGAAGTGTAGAAAATACGGATTTGGATGATCTGACACTGGTGAAGAGATTGCCGCAATTCTGATTGCGGCTTTGGGAAGCGAAATTTCTTTCAGAATTTGGGCGTTCCAGGGGTAGTTGAGTACGGATCCGCATGTAAGTTCTTAGAAGGAGTTGTGGGCTGTTGATATGGGCGCAACCTATATGAGAATGGCATAAGAGCGAATGCTCCTAATGATTGCGATGAACGCGCCAGGCCTGGAAGTAGATTAAGACGCCTAGCGCCTTGGCACAGCTGGCTTGGATGTGCTTCCGCCAGATGAGCTTTCTGTCACAGATAATGCCGAGCCTGAGTGATGGAAAGACTACGTTTGATAGGGTCATTGTTAACGGCGATATAGGATGGTGTTCGGATCCTATGGGAGAAGAAAATTACTTCCGACTTGTTCTCGTTAATGTAATGTTTCCATCATCGGTATCAATTTAGAAGCAGAAGCAGAAACTTGTTAATTTTCCGCGAAGTACTGGAGGCCGGACTTTATAAGGGCGATGTGATCGGCGTAGAGAGTAATGAGAATCGAGGTATGGGACGGCATGTCTGTGCAGAATAGGTTAAACAGCTTGGAGCCTTAAGGGCATCTGCCCTGATGGGTTTGCTGAGGTTTAAGGCAGAGTCAACGCGAACACGTAGATTTCTGTCAGAGAAAAAGGATCTGATAACCTCAATTCTTGAAACAGCTAAGCTAATTCCTTGGGGCCTCAGTTTCATCTGGAAGCCTTCGGTATGCCTCTTTCTTTTCCGATCATAATGATATCGGCGAGGTATACAAGCTAGGCCTCCCAATTAGGTCACTCAAAACTGTTTCCATGAGTCGTGAGAATATAGTTGGCGCGTTGAATAAACCGAACCACATCACAGTCCGTTCAGATGGAGAATGCTGTCTCCTTCAGGGTCCAAATCATAGTTGGCGCGTTGAATAAATCGAACCACATCACAGTCCGTTCAGATGGAGAATGCTGTCTCCTTCAGGGTCCAAATCCACATGCCAGTATCCACTTTTCAGGTGTAACGTTAAGAATGTTGTCTACTCATCAAGTGTATACAAAGTATCGTCGGTTCGAGGCAAGGGTAGCTATCTTACTTTGTTACATTGCTCAAAAACTAATCGATGCTTCTACTACCCCATCCTTTTGCATTTCTCATATGATTATTTCTCAGCCTCTTCTTTCTTAGCGAGTGGTAGTTTCCTCGGTTTCTACCGGATAGGTTCCGCTCCGCCCGTGTTTATCTTGCAGACAACGTTTGTCTCTTCTTGCCGTTTTTTAATCTGAACACATATTGATATTGTTCAAGTAGTTCCGTTTGTTTTCGTTGATCAATTGGGTTGCGCGTTTCGCTGCTTTTCAGTAACATTCACAAGAACGCTTCTTTAATCTTTTAGACTTCGCTTACTGCCGTGCTCACCCTTTTAAGTTGTGAATCAGCAGTATCCTGCGTACGCATTTCGAACGTTTTATCATTCAGTGTCAAGGCTTTTCTCTGTAAGCTCAAAAAAAGTCTTATTGGCCTAGAACGTCCATATCGAAGATTGCTTCTTCTATTTCCGCAACCATCGCACAGTATTAAAAATTGTGTACTTTTATGTTGACATATCATTTACTATGCGAGTTATCTAGTGGCGGTTCATAGCTTCCATTGGGTCGGCGAGAGCTTACTAGGCTTGGTCACTATCTTGGTTTTATTATTGTTTTGCTGTTATTCAGCTTTGTCTTTTATCATCTTATTCAGTGCAACTGAACCTGGGGCTTTCTATTCCGTAATATACGTTTGCCCCCCCCCCGCGTCGCCCATGACTAGTTCTCTTGAGTGTGGGACACGCGCTTGAACAGCTTCCTCGCACTTGCAGGCGCTTGTTACGTTTTCTATTTCCCACAGTTCTAACACTTTATTGGTCTCAGCTGTTTATTGACCTAACTTGCCTATTCGCGGATAACCTCGACCTTGCCTATGGGGAGCCTACTTAACTGCGAAATACTCCATGTACCAGTCTTGGTCTGTCCACTCGAAGTCGCTGGTGTATCCCTCAATCCATCGATGAACAAGTCGACGGTGAACTTTTCCAGGGTATCGTCGGGCATATTTGGATGGCGAGACGAACAGGTTGAAATCCCCTTCATATTTTTGAGAGCTTTACCTTGTCTTTTGCCACCCGTTTCTTAGTTGGGCCTGATATATCGATGTCAAATGCATCTGACCATGCCGTATTTGCAACCGTTGTTCCAGCTGTTTGTAGTCTGATAGTTCTTCAGGTCGTAGTGCGGTTAAAATTTCCCCCAGCACTATCACGTAAGGCACATGTAAGTGCATTGCCTTTCTCCTTTTGTGTATAAGCGTAATTCCTGCGGGTGCCTCGAATAGTGTAAAGAATGAAGTCCATGATATCTTCCTATAATATTCTTGGAGCATTTTTATCCAATGTGCTGCTTGACTCTCAGGACTTCAACAGAATGATCTACTTATACTACAATGCTTAGTGCTCATATACTCGTCACTGAATTTATATAACTCTATAGTCTCCTATAATTCGCACTGTTTATTTAGGTTACGATCAGATGCCCATGTGAAAACTAATTACGGCTATCGTTCAGAAATCAATTTATATTCTTATAAACTTCTTTTGCATCTGTAGATGAAATGAGAAAAGGGAATTTTCAACTAATGGTTTCTTTAACACCATGGTAATGAAAACGTCAGCTTCATTTATGCTTGGATAAATCACAACAAATGCAGTTTATTATTTAATGTAATTTAATTTCCAGCATGAAAAATATGAAATTGAAAATCGTAGACAAGAAGTAGCTTCTGAAGAATATAATGATAGCCAGGCTGGTTTTAGAACACCAAAACGCAGAATAAAAAGCAGTTACTTTAGTGACGAAGAGGAAACTGATTAGGAATAAAAAGGTTTATATAGTATGGGTGTCATCTCAGGAAGTACCTGTCACTTTTAACGGAGGTAAATAAATACAGTTTGCCTGTTGTTTTTATCTGGTTTGATGTCATTGGCGAGCTAAAATAATAAAAAAAATATTTAATTTTCCTCTAACGCTTTTCTATTTTTAATTTTAATAATAATCAATTTCTTTTAAATTAGATTATAGTAATTGTTATAAAACTATTTATAAAAAATGAACAATTAAACATGAAAAAGATGTATTAAATCTTCAATTTCAATAATCTGGGTATTTTTATCAAGAATTTCAATATCTTATAATCCTTTTCGATTATTATTTCTAACAATGTAATTAAATACTAATGGTTCGTTTCGTTAATAGATGCAGTTATCGTTATTACCTAAATAGTTAGTAGCTGTAATTACCCTTGATGTTAGCATCCCATCCATAACTCAATAAATATATCTAATTAGACTGTGATTTTTAATACATAATGACCTTTAAATTAATTACAGTTTACTTCTGAAATTTATCCTTTAAAAATTAATGTTACTTCAACTTTATCTGTTAACAATAGTGTTTATTGTGGAGAACTATCAAAGGCGATTTCTGTAATAGACAACTTGGGACGAAATAAAGTTCTTCAAAATCAAACTAAAGAAGCAATATACAATGTTTTTATGTTCATAGTTAATTTACAAGCAGACAAAAATGTTAAGTTAAATTTAAAGGCTGTGAAAACTAGAGTGAGTGCTGTTGCAGAGGTTCCGTTAAGTAGTGTGGAGCGTGTTATAGGGAAAGTTGAAGAATCAGAAAAATATAGTATTCCAAAATTTAGTACATCAGTAAACCAAAGTTATTAAAGGAAATGTCTTATCGGTAGCCTGGAAAATGAAAATTTTAAGCAGCTCAGTGACATTAGCAATAAAATTCATAATTTTAATTTAACTGAGAAATGTTGTCCATTGTCTGTTCAGGTTGTTTTTTCTATTCGCATCAAACTGTTACAATATTTATATTATGTGTAGTGTACCTGTTTGGGATTATGAGAACAATTAGTGTCTGTTGGTTTCACAACCTACACTCAACAAAATATATTCATCAGAGAAATTAGAAAATACCACAAATGGCGCAGTAAACGCCATCTGTAGTACGATGCTACATTTTAGGATTACGTATGCTCCAGCAAGGTCCATTTAAATACAGTGGAATCCGTTTATAATGAAGGGAATCGACAAACACGTCATAATAACCGTACGTCATACAAAGCGGTTTGTGAAAAGAAAACATTTTTATGTATGTATTTAATTTAATAGAGAAACATAGTAACTAATGAAATCAAAATTGCACGTTTATTACGTACACATTATACACATACAAGTGTATTTTTTAATGAATATAATCTGTAATTTTTGTCTGCTTTTGTTTTTTCATTTTATAGTAAAAATAGTCTCTAAGATTATTGTGTATAGAAGACATCGCCATGGTCAAATTATCGTTTTCAATATTGCTATTAACAAATCGGGATAATAATTCTGCAGCTTTTAATGCCTCTTCTGCGGTAGGTAATGGTTCTTCCTCGACTTCCTCTTCGCCATCACTTTCAAGTTGTTCCTTAGCATTAATGTTCTGTACGATATTGTCATCGGTGTGTTCTTCGGATGTGAGGAGAGCGCTATCGATGTCAACATAATCTTCCCACATTACCGGTGCTGCTAAAGAATCTAAATTTGGATTTCGTGACCACAAAAATAAAGGGACTTCATCTTCTTCATCAAATTCATGTTCTGATATTTGATTAGGTAAACCGTCGTGTCTTTCAATGAATCCTGCATGTCTGAAACAGTTGTGAATGGTACTTTGTGACATTTTATTCCAGGCATCATTAACCATCAGAATTGCATCTAGCATCGTTATTTTTGTAGAAGGGTTGTTGTCATTAGCAGAAAGACAGTTAATCATATTGAGCACAAGGTTCTTTCTAAAATTCGTTTTGATTGCTCGTATTATTCCCTGATCCATTGGCTGTAGTACTGATGTTGTATTCGGCGGAAGGAAAGCAAGTGTTATAGACTTTAAATCAGTAACATTTGGATGCGCCGGGCAATTATCAACCAGCAATAAAATCTTTTTCTTCTCCTTCACCAGATCACGATCCCAATCTCGAAGCCATTTTTCAAGAAGTTCTGATGTCATCCAAGCTTTACGATTGTTAGCATAATCGACAGGTAATGATTTGACACCTTTGAAACATCTGGGTTTTTGTGACTTCGAATAGTGAGCAATTTCTTTTTTTTTGTGCCACTCATAATAGCTGCTACCATGACAGTTATTCTATTTTTCGACAATTTGCCTCCACTACAATTCTCACCTTTAAATTTTTATGTTTTGTCCAGCATTAATTTGTAAAACAGTCCAGTTTCATCAGCATTAAATATCTCATCATCAGAAAACTGTCTTCGTAGATTCGGCCACACAGTTGTTAACCAGTTTGTTGTTGAATTTTGATCAACAGACGAAGATTCGCCAACAATTTTTCCCGCCACAATGTTATGTCCAACTTTAAAACGACTGATCCAGCTTGCAGAACAATTGAAATCGAGAATACCAAAACGCGCGGCAAAAACGTTTGCCTTTTCCTGCGGCATAGGGCCGCTGATAGGCATTTTTTTGTTTCTCATGGTTTTAAACCACTGAATTAATGCTTCATCAACATTTTCTTGTCGCGATTTTTGAAGCTTCTTCGGTTTCAAAACATTTGAATTGAACGATTACTTAATGCGGTTCTTGTTTTTAAAAATCATTGAGATTGTCGAATGACCAACGCCAAATTCCTTTGCGAGAGATGAGTTGGATTCTCCGTTTTCTAATCTGCATATTATTGCACCTTTCTCCTTAATCGTAAATGCTTTACGGCGTTGAATTGACATTCTTTTCACAGCACAGACACAAAACAAAAACGAGCCACGTGCCGACCGTCGTCGGGAATCAACGAACATTACCGAAGGTGTAAACATGATACTTTGCACTGTCGGTCATTATAACCGGACATAAATTATTAAAAGTGGGTCATAATAAGCGACATGTTATTATACCGACTAAAACCCCTCCTCGAGATGGGATTTCAACTATGAAGCTGTTACTCCCAAGGGAAAGATTTGGATATAGGGGAGAGGGAGATGTAAAAATGGTGATGGGAGTGCTTGGGGAGAGATGATGAAGGTGTGAGTAGGTGCCCCATCGCAGAAGTAGGGTGGGGACTTGCGCTGAAAAAGCGAAACTAGTAAAGAGCGTAAAAGGAACCGCTCAAACCTGAAAACAGCAAAAGTGGACAGCTCGGAACTATGGTGAACCTATGTGTGCAGCTCAGTGAAGAAGGTGGTAGGGCCTCCTGAAACGGTCGTTTGGTTTAGGGGCGAACTTGGATTGTGTCAAGCTAATTGGGTTTGGGTGGCCAGACACTGAGGCCCTAAGATTTGCTGCGAATTTGGTTGCAGCCTCGGGGAGAGAAGATAGACCAGTTTCTTTCAGAATTTGTGAATTTCTGATGAACCATGGGTAGTCGAGTGCGGAACGAAAAATCCGCATGTAGGTGCCTTGTAGAATTTGAAGACGTCGGGGAAGGGTGGAGCCCCAAATAGGGATGGCGTAGGAACAAATGCTCCTAATAATTGCGTTAAACGCACGGATTTTGGTCTGTCGGGAGATGTTCTTATTACGGAAGAAAGGTTTAAGTGCGACGAATGCACCCAGAGCCTTGTTACGGGTCGCCGTAATGTAGTGCCGCCAGGTTAGGCGTCTATCGAAGACGACGCCTAGGTACGTGACAGAGGTGCTCCATTTGATGGGGCGGTTGTTGACGATGATGGAGGGAGGTTTTCGGAACCTACGAGAAAGGAGGATTGCTTCCGATTTGGTCTCATTAATGGAGAGTCTCCATTTACGATACCAGTTTAGGAACTGGGACAGAAACCTATTGATTCTCGCTGTGCAATGGAGAATGGCGCTGGAAGAGTTTATGATGGCAATGTCGTCGGCGTACAGAGCAGTCATAATGGAAGGGTGGGAGGGCATATCCGCGCAGAACAGGTTAAACAGAATAGGTGAAAGTTTGGAGCCTTGTGGGACACCGGCTGTGACGGGTCTACTGGCAGAGAGAGCAGAGCCAACGCGGACTCGTAGTCTTCTGTCTGTGAGAAAGGACCTGATTATCCCGACTAGAAAGTGTGGGATGAGTTCGTGCCAGACTCGATCGAAGGCCCGCTGGATGTCAAGAAGTAGCATGGAAGTGTGACGCCGCTTGTTAAGATTTTCGGAGATATGTTCGCTTACGGGAAGAAGTTGATGACCGGTGCCGTCTTGCCTGCGGAAGCCGTGTTGAAAGTCGGGGAGAAGGTTGTTTTGCTCCACGTGGTCTAAGAGCCGGTCGAGAAGAATGGATTCGACTACTTTGCTCAACCAACTGAGCAGGCTGATGGGTCTATAGCTTGAGGGAGAGCTGAGCGGCTTTCCTTTCTTGGGGAGACAGATGACAGTGGCCTCTTTTCAGACCAAAGGGAAATGGTAGAGCCGCATGATGGCGTTCGTGATGTTGCACAGTGCGGTTATGTGCTTTGGTGGCAGGACTTTGAGGACTCCGTTGGCAATTCCGTAAGCGCCAGGGGCTTTTCTCTTTTTCAGAGATCGGATGGTGAGGAAGATTTCACGTGGGGACGTGTGCTTGAAGTCGCAAACGGTAGGAACGAAGTTTTGAGAGCCGGCTTTGGTTTTCTCGTGAAAGTTGGCTAAATCCACCGGGCTGGGTATTGAAGAGCACTGGAGACAGAGAGAGTCTGCGAAGATTGCAGCTTTTTCCTCATCTGAAGTGTATAGGGAACCATTTTGTTTTAATGGTGGGAGATGGGGAGCTCTGTTTCGGAGAGAGCGGATCACTTTCCAAGTACTTTTTTGGTGCAGTTCTGCTTGAGCGATGTATTCGTCAAACGAGGCGCTGCGGAATTCCGTTAGGCGAGTTTTGAGTTCTCGCTGAATGGCGTTTAATTCGGCACGATGTGCGGGATTGTGGTGTTTTGCCACTGGTGGCGGGTTCTGTTCTTCCTCTTAAGAAGGGCAAGAATATCTGCTGGGAGGGTTCTGTCTTTGGTGGGCGTGGGGCGGGGCGAAGTGGAGATCTTGATTGCGCTGGTAATCTCGTTTGAAAGGTGAGTCACAGCTTCGTCAAGTTCCACTATTGTGCGAATTGAAGTGCACTTGAATGAAGATGTTTCAAGGGTGTATCGAAGGTGAAGTCAATCTAGTGACGTGATTGGGTTTGGGGGTTGAGGATTGGGCGGCCAACTTCAATAAAGGCTGGAAGATGGTCCGAGCTTAATGCGTCTATGACGATAGGATCGGCGGAAAGTGTGACATTTTTCGTGACGAAAATGTCAAGAATGTCAGGGAATAGATGGTGGCGGGTACGGAGGAATGTGGGGTCAGAGGGCGCTTCAACTGTGAGGTTGAAGTCAAGAATTTTGATGAGAAGGAAGGTGCCTTTATTGTTGGTTTGTCGACAACCTCAAGAAACGTGTTTGGCGACGATGGTTGGAACGCTTGGGGGGAGTAGAAGGGGGATCTCAGAAAGGTCCCTGTCCGAAGGAGGGGAGTAGAGAGAGATAATCCTAAGAGGGTCGGTGGTTAACGAAATTTCGATGCCGACTGTCTCTAACGAGTTTGTGGCCAAAGAGATAGGCCTATGTTTTAGAGAATTCCTAACAAGAATGACGACACCGCCGCCTCTGCCGTGATCCCGGTCCCTTCTGTAGGAAGAGAAATTTGGGACGAGCGCCGCCTGGCACTTGCCAAGTCTTATTAATACCTATACCGCCACATACACCCCCCCCCCCTCTGTGAACTTTCATGTTAGTGAAAGGAACGAAATCTTCTTTCTAGCATATGTTTTGCGCGGTTAATCCAACACTGCTCTCCGCTGATGCTCAGGAACTGGATGAACAGGCTCCTCTGGATACATATCATCATTAACCATAATGTGGCTTTAATCTTTCAATTGATAACATTTTAGGTTCTCTATTTACATTAACTTTGTAAACGTGATCGGATACCTTCTCCAATACTTCATAAGGTGGCTTCAATACTCTCCTGAGTGAATCAACACGTACCCAAACGTGTGAACAAGTAGCTAAGTCCTTTTATCTTAAATATCTTAAACCATTAATCTCTGGTAATTCAATTACATCTATATGTATGTGAACGCGTGCTATCTGGTAACGCAGCCTCCTGATTTTATTATGGTTTTGGCGCCGACCAACCGCACTGATATGATGGTGATTTCCTGAGAAACCACCGAGTGCAGTGACGCATTACATTCAATAAAATACAAATTCAATCATGTCCAATAGTTCCTTTGCTCTGGCATTTTCGATCAAGCTGCTGTTATAGAAAGAACAATGTATTTTTCGAAGTGGCAATACACGCATATTATTGTTAACCATCGCTCGTTTCATTGATTTATTATTAAAGAATCGTAAATCTTACACCAGGGGTGGGATCGCCCCATTTTCCATTATAAACAGTTAAAACAAAAAGTGGACTTTTATAAGATAAAGTAAGTGCCTAATGAAAACAAAAGAAAAAAAAACAAATGCATCAGCTTACTGAAGTGTTGACGAATGTGTTACGTGAAATACAAACACACGCAACGCGACCTTTACCTGTTCCTGGACCATCGACTTCAATCAGCATTCCTGAATTTAATGCAAATCAAGATAAACGAGCCCTTGCGTGCTGTCAAGAAATACAGACTGACAGCAACTTATGGATGGTCTGATTATGAACAATTGACAAGAGCCAAGAAAAACCTGAGCGACCGTCTACGAAGGGCCAGTGTCGACAGAAGCCACAAAGCCGAGTCGTACGTCGAGTATGCCAGGAAAAAGATAAGTCTTTTAAAAAATTTAGATTTCAATTTAAGTGACTCACAATTATTAGAAATTGTAATTGGTGATATAACGGATGTGAATGTTAAAACCGCTGCATTTAATAGTAAACCAGAGACTATTTCAGATCTAATAATTTTACTGAACGGTTTTTTTAAGAAAAAAAGTACTTGCAGAAAAAATTAAGTTAAAGCGACCGTTTCCATCAAATCAAACTTGTTTTTAATTGTGGCGAGTACGGTCATTTAAAAATCAATTGTAGAAAAGAAAGAAATACGAGGGTGGATTGATAAGTTTCCGGCCTGACCAAGAAAAACAAGGTTTTTAAAAATTTTTTTTTTTTATTTCTCAACATAATCTCCTCCAAGGCTGATACATTTCTCATAGCGGTGTTCCAGTCTATTAATGCCATCTCTATAGACTGATTCGTCAAGCTCCTCAAAATAACCATTTACAGCTTCGATTACTTCTTCATTGTCCGCAAATCTCTTACCGCCAAGCCATTTTTTGAGATTAGGGAACAGAAAATAGTCACTCGGGGCTAGGTCTGGAGAGTAAGGAGGGTGCGGCATCAATTCAAACTTTAGATCGTTGATTTTAGCCGTCGCAACGATTGACGTGTGCGCTGGTGCGTTATCGTGATGAAACAAGATTTTTTTCTTCGCCAGATGAGGTCGTTTAATTTTCACCTCGTGGCTCAAACGTTGCAATAAGTCTGCGTAGTATTGACCAGTGATAGTATTACCCTTTGCAAGGTAATCAATGTATATAATACCTCTTGCATCCCAAAAAACAGTAGCCATAACCTTGTTCGCCGAAAAAATTGTTTTTGCCTTCTTTGGAGTTGGTTCCCCTGGTCCAATCCACTGTTTAGACTGTTCTTTGGTTTCAGGAGTGTAGTGGTGGACCCACGTTTCGTCAACGGTTACGAATCGACGCAAAAATTCGCTTGGATTACGCTTATACAATGACAAATTTGCGGTAGAAATGTTTTTTCGAATCAATTTTTGGTCGACTGTTAGCAAACGCGGCACCCATCTTGCACAGAGCTTTTCCATATGCAAATGTTGGTGCAAAATATGTTGCACACGTTCATATGACATCTTACAGGTCTCAGCTATCTCACGCACTTTCAATCTGCGGTCTCCCAGCACTATTTGATGAATTTTTTCGATCATATCTGGAGTTGTGACCTCAACGGGGCGTCCTGAGCGAGGCCCATCAGAGGTGCTCACACGACCCTTTTTAAACTCGGAAACCCACTGCTTAACGGTTGAATATGACGGGGAGGATGTCCCCAGTGTTGAGTCCATCTCTTTTTTAATTTCCTTCGGCGTTAACCCCTTCAAATAAAAGTATTTGATGACAGCACGATTTTCCTGCTTTTCCATTTTTACGAAAACCACAGAGGCGTCTTGTTCAGCGTGCTGTCAAACCTACACTAGCAAGGAGATCGGGCTGAAACTATAGCTACAAGCTATCCAAGGATGGTACTATAGAATGTCACCTCAAGGTAGGCCTAGTGGCGTCATCTCTTGGTTAGGCCGGAAACTTATCAATCCACCCTCGTAATAGCTCGCAAAATAAATCTCAAAGCATTTTAAAATGCTCTTTCTGCCAGAAGGCGGGACATCATTCTGATAATTGTTACTTCAAAATTAAACGGAAAAAAATTAACGATGTAGCTAATATCAAATATTATTGTTTTGATTTGGGAAATGACTTTACCACACAATTTATGATTCAAGGTTTACCAATTAATTGCTTAGTAGATACGGGAGCCGAGTGTAGTATTTCTTCTAGTTTGGCGAACAAATTACATTGTCGCCTCGAACCAAACTTTTTATTATTAAAAGGGTTAGCCAATAAACGGTATTCTACATGTTATAAAACGACACTTAATTTAGAAAAAAATGGCACTGCGTTTGAAGTCGAGTTTAATTTTATTGACGACTCTATTTTAAAATTAGACGCAATTTTAGGTAGAGATTTACTTAATCGAAAGGGCATTACAACTTGCTCCGACTATACCGGAACAAAAATATATTTCGATGATTATTTTGCTCCCGAAACCGGTACAAATATTCATAACATCTCGATAACACGTGACTCAGTCCAAACGCCACTTAAAGGAGATAGACTGCAGAAGTTGTTGAATTTACTAAACAAATTCGAAGAAGTCATTACGACGGGTAATACGGTTAAACCAATAAAAGGAGTAGAGTTGGAAATTAAATTGAAGGAAGATAAAATAATTTCATATAACCCATACCGTATGGCCATAAGTGAGAGAGAAAAAGTTAAAATTATTATCGACGAATTGTTAGAAAACAAAATCATTCGCGAAAGCAAATCACCGTATGCTAGTCCAATCTTACTAGTCCATAAACAAGATGGAAAAAGTCGTCTGTGCGCGGACTATCGCGCATTAAATAAAATAACAATTAAAGATCGATTTCCGCTTCCGCGCATAGATGATATCCTCGAACAACTGGGCCGTAATAAATATTTTACTATGTTAGACATGGTTGCAGGATTTTACCAACTAAAAATGGCCCAAAACTCTATGGAAAAAAACTGGTTTTGTCACAGCCGACTGACATTACGAGTTTCTGCGTGTCCCTTTTGGCCTGAACAACGCCCCGCAGCATTTCAGCGGGCAATAAATAATGCACTAGGAAACTTACGCGGAAAGGACGCGCTTCTTTATATAGACGATGTCCTGATACCCTCAAGTACAATTGAAGAAGGTATAAGAAAATTAAATCGAATACTACTCGCTCTACAAAAAGCCGGGTTTTCTCTTAACTTAAAAAAATGCCGCTTTCTAGAAACGGAAATTCAATATTTGGGGCATGAAATTTCTGAAAAGGGGATTAGACCGGAAAAAAAAAATTGACTGCGCTTTTAAATGCAGCTTCGCGGAAAAATGTTAAACAAGTATGCCAGTTCATGGGACTTGCTGGATACTTTCGAAAATATGTTCCAAAATTCGCGTCCCGCACATCTTGTATTACAAAATTAACTAAAAACAACGAACCATTTATTTGGGGCAACGATCAAGAGATCGCGAAAAACTACGTCTGTGCATTTTTAAGCAAGCGGCCTTTGTTAACTACGTTTGATCACCAACTCGAAACAGAACTGCATACGGATGCAAGCTCTATGGGGTACGGAGCTATTCTTTTCCAACGACACGGTAAAGATCTACGGGTAATAGAATATTTTTCCAGACGCACAACTGACGTTGAGTGTAAATATGACTCGTACGAGCTGGAAACCCTAGCATTATATTATTCGGTAAAACATTTTAGAACCTATTTGTTCGGTACATCCTTTAAGGTCATGACAGACTGCAACTCTTTAAAATTAACTCAATATAAAAAAGACCTTTTATCACGAATTGCGAGATGGTGGCTTTATATACAATCTTTTACTTTCACAATTGAATATCGTAAGGGAAAATATATTTCACACATCGATTACCTTAGTAGAAACCCTGTCCCGAATTCATGATCGCAGTAAACTGCTGTAAAAATAAATAAAATAACAAGAGACAATTGGCTAATGAAAGCGTAAAACAAAGATCCGGAAACACAGAACATAATCTTAAACCTATCCGACGGAAAACTAACACATGAATATTTTTTTCAAAACGGTCTTCTTTTTAGAAAAATTAATCCGGGACGCAACCCACCCATTTACAGGGCATATATACCAAAGGGTAGTCGATTAGGATTATTAAGATTGTTTCACGACGAACAATGCCACATCGGCCCTGTTAAAACATTTGCCTCTATCAATCATTAGTTCTGGTTCCCAAAAATGACAAAATTTATCAAAAAATATAACCAGAAGAAATAACAAAATTGTTAACATCGGCGGCTTTATCTATCATCCGTCAGGGGACTCACATTTGGCAAAATTAGATAAAAAAGATGAAGGTCCATTTGAAGTTTTAAAAAATTTACCAAACGACCGTTTAAAAGTAAAGAACTTGGTTACAAACAGGATACGAACAATTGCTAAAGACATGGTTCGTACGAGGGCTGTTCAATAAGTACCCGTGTTAGAAATGAAGACATCTTTTTTTTTTAATTTTTAATTTTATTTTTCAACATAGTCCCCTTTTAGAAAGATACACTTCTCCCAACGACCCTGCCATTTTTTTTACCCCTCCAAAAATTAAGATTTGTCGAACTCTCCAAAATCTCCTCTGTCTCGGCTATGACTTCCTCGTTTGAGCTTAATTTTTTTCTCGCTAGTCATTTCTTCATGGTAGGGAACAAAATGAAGTTGCAGGGAGTCAAATCGAGTGATTACGGGGTGTGCGGCAGCAAATTCATAACGTAATTCATGCAGTTTGGCGGCAACAACTCCTGATGAATGTGCCGGTGCGTCATCTTGTTGAAAACGCACCTTGTTTTTCGTCAAATGCGTCCGTGTCTCCTTCAATTTTTTTGTCGAAGCGGTCCAATAATTCACTGTAGTATTGTCCAGTGATCGCTCTTCCTTTTTCTAAAAAATCCGTAAAATGATTTCCTCGGTAGCAACGTTTGCCAGGCTTCCTGGTTGCTTCTATCTTTGCCCACGTTTAAATTCGTTGAAGCAATATCTAACTGTGGTCGTAGATGGCGAAATGTCTCCATAAACAGTATCCAACTTTGTTTTCATCTCCTCGCATTTTTTCCCATCCAAAACCAAAAAGCGGGTTACCGAACAAAACTGCTGTTTTTCCATCTTAGCGAAAATAACGAAACACGTCTCAGTCTAATGGTTGCCAAATCCAAACTAACCTATCAATCAGTCTGAAATTCGTTTTGGCGTGGTTTGATAGATAGCAGCACACGATGACAACACCAATTTCCCTCAGGGACGTCCTCTGTCTTCAAACATGGGTACTTATTGAACCGCCCTCGTATATGGTCTGGTGAATTTTCCGAAAACTAATCTTTTCACACAAACGGTGAGTAGGCCGTGTGAGCTTATGTTAGTATGACTCTGATCACTAATATCTTTAAAAGAGTGATATGTTGACACAAAAAAAAATTAAATCAAAAAACAATTAAAATAAACGAACGATAAAAACGGATTTTTATCCAGTTGTTAAGACAAGCTTTTGCTTGGTAAAACGGATTTCGATCCGGTTGATTAAGACAAGCGTTTGCTTGGTAAGACGGATTTTTATCCGGCTGTTAAATATGTTGTAAAAAAAAACTAAAAATAAATAATGTTCAGTCACTAGAGCAATAAGTTAGCATCTAACAAAGCCAATTTGGAATTTTTTTTTGTTCCTAGATCATAATCGAGATAATTCGAGAACGAATTATGTGTCAGGATTGGCCGTGTGAGCGCGTGCTATCTGGCAACGCAGCCTCCTGATTTTATTATAGTTTTGGTGCCGACCAGCCGCACTGATATGATGGTGATTTCCTGGGAAACCACCGAGTCCAGTGACGCATTACATTCAATAAAATACAAATTCAATCATGTTCAATAGTTCCTTTGCTCTGGCATTCTCGATCAAGCTGCTGTTATAGAAAGAACACTGTATTTTTCGAAGTGGAAATACACACATATTATTGTTAACCATCGCTCGTTTCATTAATTTATTATTAAAGAATCTTAAACCTTACATGTATATGACTAAATCTATTCTCAGGTACATCAATATGGTTTGGCTTGATTCTTGTGTGTCGCTGCACCTTTGTTCGTTGGCAACCCAGACATTCACGTGCTCATATCAAACAATCTTTCTTCATTCCAGGTCAAATATATTTTTCTTTGATTGCTTTCATTGTACCTCGACCTGAAGGATGAGACAATCCATGAATAACATTCAATGCCGCTTTTCGTTGCAATTGTAACGAACTGTTATTATCGTCCAATATCTCTTTCAACACCTCATCTTCTTCTTACGCTGCTTGAATAGCCTCCGCAATTAATATCGAAGGCATAGAAATCTCATTTATCCTGGATAACGCGTCAGCCACAATATTATCATCACCTTTTATATGGACAAATTCTGCATTAAATTGTGAGATATATGAAAGTTGGCGAGCTTGTCTTTGAGAAGCCTTCTCTAATTTTTGCCTATATGCGAACGTCAAAGGTTTATGATCAGTGCGGATTATGAATTGACGATTTTCTAATAAATATTCAAAAAATTTTATCGCTGAAAAGATAGCCAATAGCTCTCGGTCATATGTACTGTATATTGTTTTTCTTGAGAAAAATCCTATTGGACGTCGTACATTTTCAATTATTTGTTCTAGCGTGGCACCAATAGCTATATCTGATCGTCAGTGGTAAGAACGAGTGGTGCATCGGCTGATGGAAACTCTAGGGCCGTCGCCACTACCAACCTCTGTTTACAATTTTTAAATGCTTCTTCTGCCTCCGGATTCCTTGGAATTTTAGACTTATCATTCTTCTTAGAGTTTTGAAGGAATTCAGTCAATGGTTCTTGAAATCTAGCACATTGTGGAATACGTGGCCTATAGTAATTTAGCATTGCTAAAAATCTTCTTAATTGTTGAACCGTTTCAGGCTTAGGAAACTCAGAAATAGCTAGCACCTTCTCTTTCGATAATCGGCACAATCGACCGTAACCACTCTCGCTTATGATATAACCAAGATAATGTACCGACCTTTGTCCTAAATGGCATTTGCTAATGGTAAGGTTATGTTCACTTAATCTTTGAAATACAATGCGTAAATGCTGTTCATGCTGCTTCGGTGTCTCAGACATTATTAATATGTCATCAATGTATACAAATACAAAGTCTAAACCTCTGAAAACACTATTAATGAATCGCTGGAATGTTTTAGATGCATTGCGAAGTCCAAAAGGCATCACTAAGAATTCAAATAAACCGAAGGTGTGGTAATTGCAGTCTTTGGAATGTCCTTTTCAGCCACCGGCATCTGATAAAAAGCTTTCAGTAAATCTATTGTAGAGGAAACCTTCTTTCCCCTTGCAAGTTGAAATAATTCTTGAATCATTGGAGTTGGTTCATTGTCAGCTACTGTTACATAATTCAGCGTACGAAAATCACCACACAGTCTCCATCCTCCCTCATTTTTCTCAACCATGTCTAATAAAAGCTAGACCTCAGCTCGTACCGCTTTCAATTTCTCACCAGTCAATTGGATGTCAACCGTAGAGGTTAAAACAGTTTTTGCATCTGTCAAACACTGTTTCTTCAGATCAATTAATAAACCAAATTGTGCTAGAAGATCAGCTCCTATTATTGCTACCTTCACGTCTGCCAATAAGAACAACCATTTGAACGCGCGTTGAAGACCTAGATCAACTGCCAACATCAAAGTTCCAGCTGTCCCGATCTTGCTCCCATTTGCTGCGTATAACTGAATTGATTCATCGTTAGGACTGGCGCTTTTTATAATTGAGCACGGCACAATCGACACCATCGAGCCTGAATCTATCAAAAATTTTATATGATTGTTTTTGTCGTAAATATGCAAACGACGTTCAGGCGTGATTCTACTACTATTTTTGTTGTCACTGTTCGCCTGAGCTAGCGACAACCTCTAGTTTTTTGATGCTTTGTTTTGTTCTAAGAAGACACATGGCAATATGCATTTGCATGCTTGCTCGCCATATTTTGCATGAATCCTACAAATTCCCTGTTCATTATGTGCTCTAGAACGGGAATGAGATCGAGACCTTGAACTATCTCTCCTGGCATGATCTTCAGAATCTCCTATAAGCTTTCTTTTCTTGGAGATACTCAACAACTCTTCCATGGATCGCTCCAGCTTATTTAATCTCTTGCTAAATTTATCTTCTTCGACCGCTATTAACTGGTAACCACTAGGTTGGTTCGCTAAAATGGCGTCTGCTCTTTCTGCCATATCAGATAATGATGCGTTACACAATGACTTCACTATGTTTCTGGAATGTATTGGTAGCAATGAGATAAATCGAGTCTTCAGCAACTCTTCACTCGCTCTATCTTGGACCAAATCCTTCATTTGGTCTCAATAGCTGTGAGGGCTTCTTATCTCCTAGCTCAATTTCAGGTAAAAAGGAGGAGGGTCGATAAGAGGCAATTTTCGCTCCTCGGCAACTTGATATGACACCAGTTTTATTCAATAGTATACAACATAACAAATATGAAAAACAACTAATTTAAATAAAAAATCGGGTATTAATGGAATAAATAAAACTAATATTTATGTAAGTTTTATAAGCATTCATTCAAATACACTTCTGTCATTTGTTTTAGCACAATAGTCAATTATAATTAGCATTCTAAATGTAAGATTAAGATAAAAGAAAGTTGTTATTACTATTAATTCAATATTATGAATATGGATAATAATCAACAATCGAAAATAATACCAAAAATATCAGAAAAATTGAGACACTTTATTTTATACTGTTTTTAATTCTCATTCTGGCTAAAGCAGCAGCATCTTGCAGTGTATGGACATTATGGCGCCAATAAGCCAAAAACCATAACACGGAAGCAACGTGAGCACAACACCCAACGACTCTTGCGCCAACTGTACACTGGCAGTACCACTGTATGTGTGAGATATTGTTTCTATCTATTTTTATCTAAATATTGTAGTTTTTGGAATTTGTGTGCCTTGATCGTAGTTGAACTCGAAGAACGGAATCATCTTCACGATATATGTAAAGAGTGTAAAGACCTTTATTTATGTGCTCTTTAGTCACAAGACGCGTCTCGTTAGCATCTTGAAAACTGTTGCTATTTATTTAGAAACTTAGGCATTTTATACACGAGGCCCATTTCTTCTAAAAGTCCCAAACAATCACGAAAACCTCTATCAACAACTATTACATCATTTGGCTTCAGCCACTTTTTGATACTATGTGCATCTTTTGTTAATATATGCGTGAATATGTTAGCATCGTTGTTCTTTAGATCAGCCAAGTAGGGTCCGAAGACGTCTAAAATGTAACCAGAAGTAGTGACGAACATCATAGGTTTAACTAAAGGTCATCCTTTGTGTAACGAGTAAGATCGTCTCTGAAAGGAATAGTTCGCACTTTTCTGAATATAAATATACGTGCCATCAGCAACTAGTATCAGTGTATCATCGTCTCCATTGGGAATAAACAATCTTTTTGCTAAAGGTCTCGTATGTTCTTTAATAACCTTTGTTCCCGTTATGTGTTTCATCCCAAGGTATAGTGGCACAAAGTTCTCAATTAAAGCCTGACGAGCACATTGCACAGAAGATGAAATCAATCGTTTTCTTATATTGAATAATGTGGACAAAACAATATTAGACAGACCAGTTCTAGTTTTACAAGTAATACTGCCAGGCAAGTACGAGATGATCTCACTTTTGAGGAACGAATCTTGGGCTTTACAAGTTCAAAAACACAGTTAAAATCAAGCTTCCCTATACCCATGAGATTAAAATAATCAGCTTCAGAAAGTTGACCTGGTGTATCAATGTCGAGCCCTTTTTTCTTTGCTACTTTTCTGATATTGTTTAAAAGACTTTCAATATCTTTGTCATACATTAACGTACTGTCGTTTACAGGACGTAAAGCTTGCAGAGCCAATTCACTGAATACTGATTCGGTGATATGGGTTTTGCAGTATCTATTCCCCGGTGAAATATAGATTCCAGTATTTATGTAAACTTGAGTTCGACCTGCTTTTGGTACAGTCGTGAGGCTATTCTTAGGCCTACATATAATACAATACGTATTTGAGTTGTGACAACGAGGTATTGATAAGCGAATATTAGGTATCTTCGTAGTGTAATCAGTGGTACTTGTTGAAGCAACTCTTGTCATTATGGAAGAAGTACTTTGATTTTTAGACCGAATCACACGATATGCATAGATCTGCATTCAGAACACAGTTTAGAACCACTCTGCAGATCACAGTTTTTAGAACTTTTAAGTAATGAAATAATTTTTCTGTTCGCACAGACACGAAAATCACTACTTTTTTTCTGCCATGATTTACAACAATCACACTGGCTACCAGGCATTTATAGTTTTTTCAAAAAAAATTTTTTACGACTTCCGAATACAATTTTACACTATGCAAATAATTTTTGAATCACGGCAAGACAGGTATAAGCACGTTCACGATCACGGTGCAAGCGATACGCGCAGAGTATATTTTCATATGTTAGGCCCGAAGACCGAAAACGCTCAGTGGCCGGAAAAACCGGCCACATCGCGTTCTGGCTGCCTTCGAACGCACAGAACAGTCAATTTTGTCAACTTACCTAAACAATAGGTGTACGGTTATTAGCTATTATTATCAACTGAAAGTACTAAAAATGTACAACTTTCCTTTATAATTATTCCAGTACAGTACATTTATGATCATTTGTAATTTGTATGATCCTTTCGGCGATTTTATAACAATGCACGTACCGATGACTGTATATGACAATGAGTTGTGTGATCATAAAGGTGGTTTAGGAATTAACTTTTAAAAAAGGCATGAATTTAAGTTTGCGTTGTACTCGACAATAAATGTGTAGAAAAAAAATCGAAATTCATTTGCTTAATGAATAACTTTTCGCTTTTTCATTCATTCATTCATATATCATATACTCGACAA